TATCTCATTTGGTCTAGATGGAACTCAAAGATAACAAACAGTATTTTTGTATTAGAATTTTCTTCTGTCTGGATTTCTTAGCTGAGATGTCATTTAAGTTGAAAATAATTATATATATATGATTTAATTTTTCAGATGGCTACGTCCAAAGAAGCTGTCTAGTGCATGAGTAAGTGCAATAATTTCATAGTTAATCTTTCTCTGTCTCTCAGAATGGTCAAAACATAGTCTTAAAATGTTTATATTTGAGAAGATGGGATTAGCAAAAAAAATATATAATGCTTCTTCTCAATTCCTAATCTACTTAAAGTAACTAAATTCATATTTTCTCTTTCTAAATTTACAGAGATGAAGAAATATATGATGATATTGCTGATGGTAAGATATATACTATAAGTAAAATTGAATTGTAATGATTAAGAATGAAGGTAACTGAAATATTTTTTCTATAGGTTTATTTTTAATTGGAAGGATGGAAAGTTTTTATCCAAAACTGATTTTTTTTCATTTTTTCCTCTTTCATAGATTTATATGACAATGATTAGCTCCAGACCTCATCTTGGCAGTCTTCACCTTTTCTGATTGGTGGATATAAGAGAGAAAGTTATTATTCAGACTTAGGATTTATGTGTATGTACAAAAGATTTGGTTAAGCTATCCCACCAGTTTCTGGACAGTGAAGCAGGTTTTATCGCAGAAGCATGATAACATTACACAAATATGTTCTTGATTTGCAACCGTCAGCCAAATCTTCAAATTGGAATGTTATTAAATCAATGTTGGGTGTGGGATAACTTGACAGCTTAATAAATCCCCCAACACAATCCAAAATATTCTATTTAGCATGCTACAGATTAAATCAACAATTTGCATGTACAATACTCCTTCTCGTATTCATACAATGGGCTTTGGAAATGTCCCAATGTGCCCACAGATGTGATACCTGACCTTCATCTGTTCTATGTTATTTTTACCTACTCATACCACAGAACCATGGAATTGGAAGCAGCCAGCTAATTCAACCTGCTATTGAACTGAGTTATAGGAAGGCAGAATCTGCCTATTGTTTCTCTATTCTTTTATTTTCTTATTTTTCTAACTCAGAAATGGGCAACCAATATCTTGCAGTTGTGCCTCTGCAATTCAGTGGGAAAACAAGCTAAATTTCAGAGGCAAGGTTTCAACCTGTTTTTTTTTTTAAATATTTGGGGTGGTTTTAAGAATGGAAATGAAAAGGGTTTATCTGTAGGAGGATTTCTGTTCCCATCTCCATCCTTAAAATCTCCCCAAAAGCTGAAGAATGAGCCATGCCTTCTTTGGTGATGCCACATTATTGGATTGCCTCCTGTGGATCTTTCAAAAATTGAGATGTGGCCATTCAGCCTTCAAACATTGTTCATCTCCATTTGAAAGTTAAGACAAGTATTCCATTTTACATTAGGATGATAGAGAGCAGAACCTGGCTTTTTTAAAGCTCAACATCCCTTCCAGTATTAGAAGAACAGTATCATTTCCCCCCAGTTTTCTCACAGTCCCTCAAAACTGTGAAAGTCCTTTCAAAATGCTTGTGGTTTTTTTTAATTCACCTGAGTTTTTCTAAATCTTTCTTAAAAAGTGACTACCAGTATCAAAACTGGAAGTATTCAGTATCTTTTGGAACGTTGAATTAAGTAAGTAAATCATGATTCAGTTATTCACAGGAAAGTGATCAATAACTATGACTACTATCTACTCATCTGGCAATAATGTGGGGTACTATGAATCATACTTCACCTACATCTTGAGAGCCACAAATTCTCTTTCTCAATCTTACTTGGTCAGTTGTATTATATTCGGTCAGTTACTTGGTCAGTTGTATTACTTACTTGGTCAGTTGTATTCTTTGTAGCATATTCCCACAGGTGCAGGGTCTGCTTTTTGGATCATTGAACGCCACTTTGCAAGGACAGCTGCGTCTCCGGGGTGCAGGCCCACATATTGTATTAGTGTACTGTATCTATATGAATCTAATAAATAAATAGTTATCTCCTTCTTCCTCTACCACTAAGAGAATTGTATACTTTTAGGACACTTTTATATTAGGGATTTGTGCCATTTCGGGACCAGCTCTGGATCTAGTTGGTTTTATACATCATGTAGTTTGGGAAAATGAGTCAAGGTATTTCTGATTCTGCTGTTTTTCTTGAAATTGTTGAAAAAGTGGCACAGTATTCTTCCAATTGCTAAATCACTACAAACCTAACAGTGATTCTATTTTTGCAGTCTGTCTCAGGAATTCATGCCAGTCATAATGTATTCCTCTACCCTATCCGTGAAGAAGTTCAGCATCCTGTTCCTGGAGCTGGTCTCTTCCTTTATGTTTAAAATATATTTTAGAACTTTTTTTTTCTTGACTCTCCAAGTCCTGCTCCTACTGGGGAAAGAACCTAACCTCAAAATTGCCAGCATTATGATCATTGCACCCCACATATGTTTTTAAAATATGATAGAGGAATGCCAATAAAACACATGGGAAACTCTGTGAAAAGTTCAGTGCTTTTGTTTATGTTTCTAATAATCAACATTCCTTCATATAGCTGCCCACAATAGCAAATCTCCAGAAAATGCATATGTGTGTGTGTGTGTGTGTGTGTGTGTGTGT